GGATACACACTTAGGTATGAAATTTCTGTGTCTCATGACAGCTCTGCGCGTGACCTTTAGAGGAGATGCCAAAATGTTTTCCTCTGCAGCTGTGTTTGCTTGTTTGTTTTTTCCATTTTTTTTATTAGTTGGAGGCTAATTACTTTACATATTGTAGTGGGTTTTGTCATACATTGACATGAATCAGCCATGGATTTACATATATTCCCCATCCCGGTCCCCCCTCCCACCTCCCTCTCCACCCGATCCCTCTGGGTCTTCCCAGTGCACCAGGTCCGAGCACTCGTCTCATGCATCCAACCTGGGCTGGTGATCTGTTTCACCCTAGATAATATACATGTTTCAATGCTGTTCTCTTGAAACATCCCACCCTCGCCTTCTCCCAGAGTCCACAAGTCTGTTCTATACATCTGAGTCTCTTTTTCTGTTTTGCATATAGGGTTATCGTTACCATCTTTCTAAATTCCATATATATGTGTTAGTATACTGTAATGGTCTTTATCTTTCTGGCTTACTTCACTCTGTATAATGGGCTCCAGTTTCATCCATCTCATTAGAACTGATTCAAATGAATTCTTTTTAATGGCTGAGTAATATTCCATGGTGTATATGTACCACAGCTTCCTCATCCATTCGTCTGCTGATGGGCATCTAGGTTGCTTCCATGTCCTGGCTATTATAAACAGTGCTGCGATGAACATTGGGGTGCACGTGTCTCTTTCAGATCTGGTTTCCTCGGTGTGTATGCCCAGAAGTGGGATTGCTGGGTCATATGGCAGTTCTATTTCCAGTTTTTTAAGAAATCTCCACACTGTTCTCCATAGTGGCTGTACTAGTTTGCATTCCCACCAACAGTGTAAGAGGGTTCCCTTTTCTCCACACCCTCTCCAGCATTTATTGCTTGTAGACTTTTGGATAGCAGCCATCCTGACTGGCGTGTAATGGTACCTCATTGTGGTTTTGATTTGCATTTCTCTGATAATGAGTGATGTTGAGCATCTTTTCATGTGTTTGTTAGCCATCTGTATGTCTTCCTTGGAGAAATGTCTGTTTAGTTCTTTGGCCCATTTTTTGATTGGGTCATTTATTTTTCTGGAGTTGAGCTGGAGGAGTTGCTTGTATATTTTTGAGATTAATCCTTTGTCTGTTGCTTCGTTTGCTATTATTTTCTCCCAATCTGAGGGCTGTCTTTTCACCTTGCTTATAGTTTCCTTTGTTGTGCAAAAGCTTTTAAGTTTCATTAGGTCCCATTTGTTTATTTTTGCTTTTATTTCCAATATTCTGGGAGGTGGGTCATAGAGGATCCTGCTGTGATTTATGTCGGAGAGTGTTTTGCCTATGTTCTCCTCTAGGAGTTTTATAGTTTCTGGTCTTACATTTAGATCTTTAATCCATTTTGAGTTTATTTTTGTGTATGGTGTTAGAAAGTGTTCTAGTTTCATTCTTTTACAAGTGGTTGACCAGTTTTCCCAGCTCCACTTGTTAAAGAGGTTGTTTTTTTTCCATTGTATATCCTTGCCTCCTTTGTCGAAGATAAAGGGTCCATAAGGTTCGTGGATTTATCTCTGGGCTTTCTATTCTGTTCCATTGATCTATATTTCTGTCTTTGTCTGCAGCTGTTTTTAAACTTTGTGTGTATTTCTTTAATAGGAAACCTACTAGGGAGCAGGGCTTTATCTTTAGTAAATCTGCTACTATGGCTTTATATGGCCGCAGACACATATGAACATCAACGCATCCGCTTTCCACCCAGTGAGTATTGACTGGGCACCTTTGTGTTGCTGCATGGAAGCACTGACAATACAGCAGTGAGCGGAAAGAGAAGATTCTCGAGTCACAGATCTTGGAGTCTGGGGGAAGAGAAAGTTGTTTTTTTTTTTTTCCACATAAGAGCAGAAGTTTAAAAATAAGATGAACAATGAGGCATATGAGGACAATAAAACTGCCAAAAAATCATAATACAGCATTGTTAACAAACTGAAATTAATTTTCTTAGAAAATATTGCTACAAAGCAAACAAAAAAATCCTACCAGAACTAATAAGTGAATTTAACCAAATTAATGGTGGCAGGGTCATTGTATGAAAGTTTAAGGCATTTCTATGTGCCACCAATGACTAATTGGAAAGTGTAGTAAAAAATTACAACTTACAGTATAAGGAAAAAAGTCATCAAATATCTAGAAGTAAGTCTAATAAAAGACCTATGCACTGTAAACTACAAAAGCATATTGGAAAAAATTTATGAGGACATAAATTAATAGAATGGTATAACTTGTCTAGGCTTCCCATGAATTGAAACACTTGAGCCCCAAATCAAAATCCTAAGAGGGTTTAGAATTCTTTTTTTTAGAATTGACAATTCAGTTTTAAAATTTACATGGAAATGCAAAGAACTCAAAATAGCCCAACAATATTAGAAAAGAGCAATGTGGGAAGACTCCCTAAATTCAGGACTTACTGTACAGTTACAGTGGTCAAGGCGTGGTATATACTGGTATGAAAAATGTGTAAATTGATCAGTGGCATAAATACAGAATCCAAAATCAGTCCCCCATAGTACCATGTCAATTTAATGGTGGAAATGAACTTTTTAAAACAGAATCTCAGATACACTGTTTGAAACTTCAGTACAAAAATATTGTGTAATTCATTGCATGTGACATGAAAACTCACTTATGGTGACTAATTTATACTTGCCTCGGGACGGGAGGATGGATGGATGGTAAAGGGTACAGGAGTCTTTCTGGACGTCTGTATTGCGCTCTGAGCAGCGGATTCACAGGTGTTTACGGTTTTTTTAAACTCATTGGACAGAACACGTTAAGGTCTATATAGCTGGTTATAAGTTATACCTCAGTGAAGGATAGAAACACCTCGTGTGTGTGAGCCAGGCAGGTCTCCTAAATAAGGGAAGTAGGCTGTATGTCCAGCAGTGGGAAACCAGAAATAAGCGTGGTGATGGAGCAGTGAGCCTCATCCCAAGTGGTGACCCCTGCTGTCCCAGCCGCAGGTCACAGTGCAGGAAGTGACCAGGCTTCTAGATGAGCCTGAAGTCTTCCTTTTCATGTCAAACCTGTTAATTTTAAAAGTACTGGACACTGATTTTTAAACAGTGGGGTATTGCAGTGGGAGAATGTTTACTTATATGAGATGGGATTAGAAGAAAATAAATGACAATAGTACTATTGAACAGGATTTTTTTTTCTAATTTAAATCTGTGCAGATTTTTGCCCCATCATTCAGTTGTGTACATTTGAACAGCACTTTTCCAGTGTTCCTTGTTGAGTACTTAATATTGTAGCCGCTGTGATTAAGGGCAAAATGCTCTCATTTGTTTACTCTTTGTAACAGCTAATTTTGAGGAAGATATTGCTTAGCACTGATGGAGATGACGTCTAAACCCAGGACTTTGTACTCTTAAGCGTTGTGCTCTGAAACGCTTGTACTCCAGGGGCAGTTTTACTGGTGGAACTGTGCTAAGTCTTCTCTGTCCGTGGGATTCTCCAGGCAAGAATACTGGAGTGGGTTTCCATTCCTGCCTCCAGGGGATCTACCTGACCCAGGGATCAAACCTGTGTCCCTTACGTCTCCTGCATTGGCAGAAGGGTTCTTTACCACTAGCGCCCGCAGTGTGGGTGAATTCTGCAGGCATTAGTCTTGTGCTTTGGGGCATAGGGGTCAGTTTTAGATGCTGAGGCTCAGATCCTTCACCCCCAACTGTAAACTGAAACTTAAACATTCATATAGTTCCTGGAAATTCTTTCGTGTTAGCTCTTCATCTTGGAATTATTTAAATTGTTGATTCACCAAAATTCACTGTAAGATATTCCTCCTTGCACTTACTCATCTGTTTCACACTGGAGTGTCTTACGTGCCAGGAATGCTGTGGTAGAGATAAAGAAATGAATAAGACATAGTCCCTGGGTTCAGGAAATTTTGAAACACTAAAAGATTATATTTAGATTAGAATATTTTACATTATAGCACTGGTTTTCAGACCTGTGAGTATGTAATTAGTGTTAGGTTTGCTATTGCACATTTTAGAGATTATGATTTACTTAAGAAGTTTCGGCCTTCATCTCTTCTAACATCAAAAGAAACTGAATCTAATGTTTTCATGCCTATGAGTTATTCATCTTGCAAATATTTACCTAGCAGCTACTTAGCACTGTACTGTTTCCAGAGAATATTGTATTAAACAAAGCAAATGTTAGCTTTGCCCTCATGGAATGTACTGTAAGGATAATCTGTTGACTGACCTTGACTTACTCTTTTTCTTAACTCCATGCTGTGCCATCTCCTTCACTTTATTCTCTCTTCTGTTTTATCTGTTAGTGTCTGTGGGTATGTTCAGTATTCTGCCACAGATGCATTGTAGGAATAAAAGAAAAGTAAACCGAATAACTTTACTGCTGCAAACCAGTAATAAAACTCCAAGAAATTTCAGCCCCGCATTCATAATTTAATTGTAGCACCCTTTTGTTTCTTCTCAGTAAACCAGATATAGAAATATTTGCTATTTTCCATTATTTTAAAGCTAAAAGTACAGTTTTTTTTAATCTACTGGTATATGTATTAAATTTTTACTACCCAGTTTGAAATCCATTCCTTCTATGCTTGTAAACCTCTTTTTTTTTTTTTTTTAGCATTGCTACTGTTCTGGCTTCTGAAATTTTTTAAGCTTGTCACTCCCTTTTTCAAGCATTTTTGTGGCTTTCTCCTCCAGTCAAGCCCTGTAATTCTCTTGTGTGCTAAAGAAAGCCCTTGGCAAAAGATTACCTTGTTAGTAATATTTTACTGTGAGATATAAAGTGTACATTGGTTGTTTCTTTGTATAATTTTATGTATCTTTGCTGTCACAATTAGTTTTTAAACCTGTAAAAATTGTTACCAGTTCATTTATTTGAAGCTATTCATTTAAAAATGATCATTTCATCAGAGGTAGGCTTTTGATGAGTAATAAAAATGTTCTTAAAACTATCCCCTTTTCTCTTTCCAGTTTTGAGAAATGGTGCTTGGGAAATTGTGCACTGGGAAAAGGTATGCATTGATTTTTATTTTGTTACAGGAGAAGACATGCACAGAGGCGTACTCTAGTAGATGTAATTTTTGTGTGTGATATAAGCAAATGTCAAGGATTCCACTGATGTGAAAGCTGTTTAGTAAGTAATGTAAACATACATGGAATCTTCTTCAGTTAGTCATTTCCATTTAATAATTCTGCAATATATTAGAAAGACTAGTATCTTAAAGTTATATTTAGAACTTTTTGTTTCTTTCATAGTATATTTTGAGTACTGGTTTCATAGATTTCATTTAACCATGGACTGTTTTGTGTTGTAGTTTTTTTGCTTTAATCATCTACTGTCCAAGTAAAACAAAAATTACATTCTGATAGTTCACATTTGTATATCTTACTACAAATTCATTTATTGTGACTAACCACATTTATACATTGCTAATTCATTTTTTCTTTAAAGTCTTACTAACTAAATATCATCTTCTAACTAGCTGAAAATGAGTTCCATAACATCAAGAAGTTAATTTGCTTATAGGACCTCTAACACGACAGTTAGTGAGTTGAGTCACAATTTAGCAAGTGTTATCCAAATGTTCATATGCTTTTCAGACCCCAGTTTCAAAAGGTAAGCTATGATTGTTAGTTCTCCTTTAGTTCTGGAAGACCATTTAACCTCCAGTTATCCACAAGTGAATAACCTTCCTAACTTTGTAAGAGACTTTTTGGAGCAAGGCCACTCCACCCCGGACCTTGTTTTCTGATTTTGCTAGGACAACAAATGTGTAAGGACACTCAGTTTATTTGCATTTCCAAGTTAAAGGCCACACCCTTGATTCTGCCCTGTGACATTCGCAGTCAGCTTGTATCCTCCCAGGTAACAGGAATCCCTCTGAACTAACTGCATTTTGATTTTAACTCGGTGGCCAGAATGACGATTGACATCTCCTTTTCTGGATATTTGAAAAGTCATTACTCTCCCTCTCTTTGGTTTTTGACATGAAAGTAACAAAGAGGAAAATACTTTTCCTTTCCTTATTTCTGTATCAGTTACCTCTTTTTCAGAGGCACAAGATAGAAAATACAAAAAGCTCAATTTACTGTTACAAAAGAAGCTTCTCTTATGCTCTTATATAGTACTTGTGGATTTAAACACTAGAGAGAAGACAAGTAGTATGTAGTCAACTACAATAAATTGATTTTTATTATAAATATATTTCATTTACTAGGATTGTCAGGGTAATTAACATAAATGCGTATCCAAAGGAATTGATAACAATTTCTTCTTACCTCTAGTGCTTGCTTAGGGGAGAGGGTGGCATGATTTGAGAAAATAGCACAGAAACACATATGTGACCACATGTGAGATACTGAGAACTTGATGCTTGGCACAGGGCACCAAAGCTAGTGCTCAGGGAGGGAGGTGGGAGGGGAGCCCGGGAGGGAGGAGGCACGTGCATGCCTATGGCCAACTCATGCTGATACGTGGCAAAACCATCACAATATTGTAATTATCCTCCAATTAAAATAAATCAATTAATGTTAAAAATAAATTAATTTTAAAAAGTAAAAAAAAATAAATTAGTTGTAAAGTCGGGAGATAACCATCCACTACCTCACCCTAAAATTAATTTTAATCCATTTTAATGTTTTATTTTCCTATTGGGCAGTCATTATTCCAAGACTGAGTAGATTACGTTAACTTTTCCAATTTTTCACAGTAAAGAAAATTTACCAGCCCATGATTGATAGCATTCTCAGCTGTTTTGGAGTTCAGTGCCACACCTTCCCTAGATATCCCACTTTGAGAAACAGAGGGCTAGAATTTAACATGTTGCAGAAAGTCATCCAGCCAAAATGAACTGATGTAACTTAATACCTGGAAGTAGAGAGTTAGCTAATTAGAGTTCATAAAAGTTGGCTCAGCAATGAATTCAAGATAAATATTCAGAAGTTGACATGACTATCTTCAGCAATAACAATTTAGAAAAATGCAATGAAAAAAGGTCTCATTCCTAGTGGCATGTGGGATGCTTACAAATAAACTTGAAATATATATACTACTGCTGTAAAGAAAACCTTGAAACTTTAAGTGTTAAAGTTTCACATAAATAGGCAAATGTGTCATATTCGTAGAAAAACACAGCCCCACTTCTTCAAAAGTAATGATATAGCATAACCCAGGGAAATGATCATTTCTTTTTCCTCAAGAGTTTGCTAAATTATTCATTGTAACTTCAAAAACAGACAGTTGAGAAAATAGAAGACTATTTTGGAAAATTAACAGTGTGCAAGGATTAAGTATAAATGAAATGAAAAGTTATTAAAATAGTGTGGATCTGTTGCACGTATATACTTTGATGAATAGCATAAAACAAAACAAAAAAAATGCCTTGAACTAAAGCCTATTTAATATTTAATAAAACAGGGGAAAATCACTGATAAAAGGATTATTTAATAAATCATGTTGGGACCACAGATTAGCAGTTTTGAGAATAGTACAATTTATGTCTAACTCATAGCCCAGGCTAAAATAAATTTCAATTGACTAGAAGAAAATGTTAAAATATTGTTTTTGAAAAACATACAAATAGAATGAAAAACCTTACTTAACATTTGGAGTAGAACAAGATCAACATCTCAAGGATTTATGGAATTTGATTACATAAAATTTAAATCTAGTATGCAATGCACAAATAAACAGAGAAATTATGGAAATATTTTCACCAACTATGACAAAAGATTGAAATTATTGTTATCTAGATAGGAAATAAAAGTTGACAAAAACTAACAAGAAACTTAATAAGCAACCAGACTCAGTATAATATTCAACCTAATAGTACAAGTTGCAAATTTAAACAATATTGAGGTCTCATTTGCTATCAAGGAAAAATTTTTATATTTCAGAATTTTTATAAAGTCTTTTATTCACATAGTATTATAGATTTAGCAATTTAGGTCTTCATATTGACAACCACAAAAAAAAAAAGATTTCTGGGAATTTATCCCAAGAAAATATTATCATTTAACATTATTTATAATAGCAAAAAGTTAACAGTATATGGATATCCAAAAATAGTGAAAGCATTTTATAAATAAATTATGACATTCTATACTCTGGTATATTTTGTGACAAATAAAAGCTGTAATTTCAAATATTGTGGCAACACACAGAAAAATTTTATAGTATCACTCAACAAATACTTATTGAATATATGTGCTAAGCAGTAAGCTCACAATAGAGTCACTGTGTCATAGAATAATCAGAGGTGAAAAGAATGGGATGGTGTACACCAAGATGCTGGTGACGTAGAAATGATTTATTGAACACTAAATGAACTGGTGTGAAAACAGGCTGGCTGTTGTGTTAGCCAGACTGTAAAGTAAGTCTTTTCTTTAGCTTATGTGATATTTTGTGCAATTAAAAATGAAATCAATAAAGCAAAACCAAGAGTCTGATCCATTTGCCAGCGTAATGTGATAAACTTCAGTGCAGATGGGCTTTAGGTTTAGGGTTCTTTCTTTCTTGGCCTCTCTGAGTGTGTGGCTACTGCGGTTGCTTTTAATGTTTCTCTGAGGACCTACAGATTTGCACAGTGTCCACCCTGTCATTCATAGATGGGCAAACTTCAGCTCTCAAACACTCGAAGTTTATCCCTCCAGTTTTTGTTTGGAAGCCTTTTCTTTGTTGTACAAGGTTAAAATGCCAGTATTTGGTTTTCTAAGAAAATATTACAATCACAAAGCCCTGAAAAAGGCATTGAATCCCCACTCTTGAAAGTCAACAGCTGTCTTCTTTACTCTTACCACAGAGATCAGCTCTTAAGGTTAAGATGCAGTTGAGACTGTTCACATGTTTTTGAGTTAGTAGCAGGCAGAAAAATTAGGTGAAGAATCTTAGAATCAACATATTTTTCAGGCTTTAAAGAAAAGCATGGAATAGTAGGCCATATGCCCCTGTAAAAGTCATTCTATTCAGCTGCTTTAATGCCTGAAGTTTCCACCATGCAATCTAGTTGTTTGGATTGAGAATTCATATCTTCAGAAATTCCTTAGTAAAAACATAAATATGCTGGAGCCTGCAATTGAGCGATCAGATCTTCCGTCTGTTATAGTCTGATAACCTTTTTCATAATCCTCAATTATAATCTCTAATATTAATGACATGAGAAGGCTCAAGGTAGTGGCCAGAAGCCCTGAGTATTTTTTTAAACTCAAGTATTTTGGGGACTAAAACTGTTTTGTCATGATAACTTTGATTAGAACAACGTGGTCAAAGATTTTTGGCTTCTTGACTTTCTGTTCTGTCTATTCCTATGCACATACCAGACTGAAAACAGAAATGAATGTCACATTAGAAGCTCAGAACCCAATAAGAAAGAGGTGTTTGAGAAAGTGAGTTAGAACCTCGGCATCAGAAGGAGGGAGTAATCCCTTCACAGTGCAATGAGAGCAGCCTTAGCATTCACTGAGCCCTTGGTCTTCCCAAGCCTTTGGGGTAACCATGTTAGACCTTGTAAGATGCTGATACTTTCTTTTAGTTTTCAGTTTTCTAACTATAAGCCTTTCATTTGTCTTACAATGAATGAAGATTTTGGAAAATAGTGCAGTTTGTTAGAGTCTAACAGACTAATGAAAATTCCTAACGCTAGTACAGACAAACGTGATCCTGACTTTATGAAGAATATCATCTGATTGAAGAGCAAATGTTAACACACAGGAGATGATTAAGCAGCAGTTAAATGGTTACCTGTGTAGAATTCTCTCCTGGTGCTCTGGCTGCAGAGAAATTGGTTCTGTTTATCTTGCTTTTAGTGAGTGCTATCAGAGCATTGTTAAAACGCATTACTTTAAGGGTCAGTATACACCTATACTTGCTATTTTTTGTTTTCCCAGTTTCCCCTTTTTTTTAAGGAAGGCGGTGTTTGATCCAAGGTCCCTGACAGTTTGTCAATTTCAGAGAGTTCAGATTTCATTTGAAACAAATCTCTTTTGAATCAAGGTATTCATAGTTTCCCTACCTAGATAACCAGCATACATACCATAAATGAGAAGGTCTCCTCCAACTTCCCTAACTGGTCTCTCCCGCGGTATATAACTAGACCACGGTGGGCTGTCTCTTATTGTGATTCCCACTGAGGACATCCATCTCTTCCCCACACCACCACCACCCGCCCCCCGCCCCGGCCCGTGCAGAAAAGTATTATTTTGGGGTTCAAGGAAAAGTAGAGAGGGGAGAGAATAAAAAGGCTTTAACACTGCCCCCGACAAGAAAAGGGGCTTTTCTTCTCTTGATTTAATAGTAAAACTTTTAGATTTTTTTGGCTGCTAAGAGTGAGGTCTAATTTCGTGGCTATCAGAGTAATTTGCTCAACTTGGCCAGCACACCAAGTTGCTACTTAGTTGGAGTTACTGTTTGCCAAAAGCTCTGTGACATTAAAAGCTCTTTAAATTCCTTCTAAGTTTCCGGACACAGTATATCTTTAATTTGTCTTCAGATGGTGCTCACACTAATGCTAACAGGTAGTAAAATAAGAGAGAGACTTAAACTGGTTTTTCTTTTTTAATTTAAAATGCAGTGATCATTTCATTATATTTGCTTATGCAAAATCAGACTTTGCAGACAGCTCAATGTGGGTTTGAGTCTAAGCTCTTCCTCTGTGATCTTGGGGAATAACTGAGAATCTAAAACTCTTTTTTTTCCCTCTCTAAATTATGAATTTTAAGTAGGATTCATCTGAGGAGTAGTGATATATACATACATAGTTTTTCCAGTTGTAATAAGATTCCCTTAAACAGGGTAATGATTTCATCTGGAAAATTCCTCCTTTTTATTTTTATGTCATAGGGAGAGAATGATGAGAAGATGAGATGTCAATTAAGTGACCAGAGTGGATGAAATAGATTTTTATTAAGCTGTGTTACTTAGGTGGTACAATACAGATTCCTTATTTGTTTTTTCGTTTTAAAGGATTGCTCCCTCCTTGGCCTCACTTCTAGATAATTTTATGCCATATTGTGAAGATAAGTGGTTCTTGTTTGCCAATAAGCATTTTTTACTGTATTCTCTGCTTAAATACAATGGGTTGTGTATTTGTAACTATTTTCAATGCAGATAATTAACCAATTCCCAGTTTTCTTTCAGGTAAATGTTGGAGATATAGTTATAATAAAAGGCAAAGAGTATATACCTGCTGACACTGTACTTCTCTCATCAAGGTAGAGATACCTACTGATGCTCAAACAGTGTAGAGGATGGTTTCTCTACCCTGCATTGACCTTGTGATTTCTCCAAGGAAATAAAGAATAAACGAAGAATTTTAAACCTCTCTAATGATTTTGAACTAAACATTAAGAAGATTGATTGGGCTAAAAGGACTCTTTCACATTTGCCATATAGAATAAGTGATCGGTACTATGTTTAAAATTCAGAAATTATAATTACAGTTAAGAGTCTACGCTCCCTCTGAATGTGCTCAGATCTGTTTGTATAGACTACTAACTCTTGTAAGATTTCCTATCACTTATTTTATATAATACATGGATTGGGTACTATTGATTTATCTTGCAATCTTCATTCATGATAAATTCCTTTATGATGCATTCATGTATCCCTCCAAAGTTTCTTGATCTTTGTGGTGCATTGGTACAAGAAAATGGATAAATGAGTTCTTTTTTGTCATCTTGTCTTTTGAAATAGTATGCTCTTCCAACAAAAATTAAAGCACTTTTTTCTTTCTTCTAAGTTCTTTCTTACTGAATTTAGATAATTTTTGTTTTGCTCGTATTTAAGATAGTCATAAATTGGTCATATGGCACTGTAACCCTTTAAAGAATGTGACTTTCAAATGGCTTTAGGCTTAAAAACTGTAAAGCTAGTCCTAATATAAATTAAGAAAAATGTTTTTACTATTTTAGAGGTTGTTTATCATCATTTCCTTGGACAGTTTTATTTGTAAAATCCACATATAAATATGGACAGTGTCCTTTTTTCAAAATCTGTTTAATCAGGTCATTATTTAAACTGATTGAATTTGTGACAAATTAGGGAAACTTAACTGAGCAATAAGAGATTTTTAGATATTTATAGAAGTAAGTCTACAGGTAGTTGAAGTAACTATAGTAATTTTTTTGTATTTTATAGCTGGGAACTTTTGGTGCCACTTACCTATTGGTGTGTTTTTTTTTTTTCCAGAAGGACTAAAATTAATAGCTTTTAAAACTAACCTTTCTGCTTTTAGTTCCCTTTGCTCCTAGCTTTATCAGGGCAAGTTTGTAAAACTGAAGGATGCTGGTAATGGTCCCTGTGAGAATGAGCCAGCAGCACGCTTACTGTCATTGGAGCAAATCCCAGGGTTCTTGTCTTGGCATGGTTTTTTTTGAACCAGAAACTTACTGTCTCAAACCTTGACTTCACATCTTTCAAAGTGAGGAAGATGGATTAAATTATCAGACTCTTAATATCCCCTGATTCTACTTTCAGTTTAAGCTAATAGTCTTTTAAGTTTTAAAAATGGCTAACCAGCAGAATGATACACACTTGGTGGTACTCAGTAGAAGTTTGATAGAGGTAATGAATGACGGACCATCTGAATGTCATACAACAAATTTCAAAGGGATAGTGAAGCATTCCAGCACTTTAGGAAACTTTTGATATTTTCCTGATTAAACTTATTATAGAGACATAACTTAGCATAGAAACCATCATATGCTGAAACATTAAGTACAATTTTCATTTTTATATGCTCAGAAATATGAAGATAATTGACTATGCTACCTTGAATTTATATTTAATTCTAAATTGAAAGTTTTTAAAATATTTTTCATCTGTCTCTATCCAATCCAAACTACTAATAAGCTATATACTTTTGTTTCTTAAACTTGAGGACATTTTTACAAGATTTCTTTTCTCAGCATTAAAAGCATTTGTTGGTGGCTATCAATATTGGTCAATCAAACTGGTTTCCGTATCTTAATATACATCTACTATGGTTAACTTCCTTCAGATGATTACTTCTGAAAAGACTATCTGATTCACTGCTTTTTGTTATTTAATGGAATCAAAGTAAAGTATAAAGCTTGTGCTACTAAATAGTTCCACCTAGTGACAAAGTACCACCTTTCTGGGGGGTTTTATTGGTTTTTAAAATTTTTTTTTCTCAAAATATTTTTGCATTACTTGGATCTTGTGAACCTACATTAGCCTCAAGAAGTAGGTAGAAGCTTTTGCCACCATTAACAGAAAGATGAATTTTGACTTTGTCTTATTTTTAGTCATTTCACTTTATCCATTGACTGGGTCAGGGTTGGAACACCTAACTCCTAGCATCTCATTGTACTACCCTGTCCACTGCCAAAATAAGGACATAGTGATCTTCACCAGCAAGTGAGCACTATTTAGCAAAAAGCAAAACAAGGGTTTATAATGTTCTAATTTCTAAATTTTTAATTTATTAATACTAACAGTACATCTTCTTAGAGGCAGTTTGAAATTAAAATATGAACATGGTTGAAAGTTACTGTGTTTCATTGATTTTCATTTTGAAATGAAGAAACTGAAATTTTAGCATATAACAAAAAACACATATATGGGTTCACAAAGCATAAAATACTGTAAAATAAACCAAGCTGTTAATCCAGTTTCAGACAGATTCTTGCCATATCTATTTCATATCTTGTCTGAAAAATTTCTCCTAGATTCAAAGACTCGTTCTGCCAAACTGTTCATTACCAAAACTTTATTAGTAAATAATTCAGAAGTCTGCAATTATAACTTTCCAGATCCATGCCTTTGCAGCTTTATGTTAAATATATTAAGATGTTTGTGCAATTAAACTTTGAAATGTTTTGGAACCAGAACATTTTAATGAAGATTTTTTTAGTATGGGTGTAGGAGAGAGATAGTATAGTATACTTTGTTTTTCGAAAGCCTAAAAGTAGTTTTCACCATTATCTCTTTTCTTCTTAGATAGGAATGGATTTACAATAGATGGCAAGAGAGTGAGGAATTGGAGAAAGGAAAAATCTGTTAGATAAAGTAGCTCTCTATATAAAAATATGCTTTTATTTAGTTTGCTCAGATATGCTTATGAGTAAAATTTTAGAAATCAAAAGTTTCTGTATTAAAAATTGAAGATTGGGCTTATTAAAAGCAAATAAGTGATTCTTAAATATTCCATTTTCTTGTGCCTTTAGACCTGATCAAAATAAGTTTTGAAAAAATTGGCATTAGACATTTTTATTAACATGTATTATTTTCTATAATAATTTCAAACTTTCTGTCTCTTTTGTCCATTTGTTTGTTTTTTTTCCCCCCTCTGTTATTCATTTTTTTTGTTTTGTTTTAATTATTTTAAACTGGGACCTGTAGGTGGCAGTAGGGGAAATAGTGAAAGTGACAAATGGGGAGCATCTCCCAGCAGATCTCATCAGCCTGTCCTCCAGGTTAGAGCCGCTGAGTTGCACAGGGCGTGTGTACGTGGGTCCTCACCTTTCACCAGAAAGCAGCTCGCACCCAAAGATGGTAGAGCTGTGTGTCTCTTCCTTGAAAGCACAAACATTTTATACTTCTAGGTGATTGATATTTCACAGTTGTTTCAAAGTCCTTTTATGAATACATTGTTGAATGATGTTCATCCCTCGAGAGGGGAAATTCAGCTCCTGTTGTTATCAACAGGAGTCGGAGTCCATGAGGCATGCCAGTAAAGGTAGATTTTAATTTCCTATGCATCATTACTATATATTCATTTTACCAACTTGCCTAAATACTAAGACTTCATTTAGTACCTCTCCAGGATACTGTTCTGAACAATGTTAAGATTTACATGAAAAACTGTTACTGAGAAATTTTTGTAATTTTAAACATTTGTCATATATTTGAGATTTTCTACAAGTTCAGTAGAATCCCATAGCAGTTGTGGCTATAATTTGAGCTTGTAGGGCTTTACAGAGGACCCCCTGCACAAAGCTGGATGTTGTACAGTTGATACTGCATGCTTTGGGATCAGTATTTATCCCACTTGTAACTAATGACATCATGCACGTTACTCTGATCAACTTCAGCTGTCTCCTAGTGTCTGTATTGTGATACGCATCTTGTTTCACCTTTCCACTAACTAATCTAAAAGCCTGCTTTGCCTTTCAGTAGTTTGTGTTTTGAATGTCATCATAATTTGCTGAAATAATTATTATCTAGCATGATTCCTTATCTGAGACTTCTTGCTGCCTTTTCATAACATTGTCAAGAACTCCTGCAAAAACAGTTGTTTTAAGAGATTGAGAATGTTCTGAATTTGGATATATGTTGTATTTACCCCATTTCAAAGAGAAACCAGGCATTTAACTTTCTAACTTACTTGCCATTTAAGGTTCTAGAAAAGTTGTTTTATGGGAGAAAAAAAAGATAGACCATTATTCTCATTTGATCTGAGAATGCCCTTGGCTATAATGATCAGTAGAAATTTATTGCTTTTCACTGTTAAAATATGGAATTGACAATGGTCATTTAGCATTTGTTATCCTTCTGTATTATCAGAAGATATGTTTTATAAAATTTTATAAACCATTTTTATTTTGAATATATACATAAGTAAATTACAAATTGGGAGTAATTGATAGAACTAAATTAGTATTGTGACAGTAATAAAAAATAAAACCTTAATTGATAAAGTGAAAATATAGATATTGAAAAACTTGTCCAGTTGGGGAAAAAAGTATCAGCCTTTATGTAAGAAAAAGAAAGCCCATAGAGAAATTAAAGGACTTGCAAGTTTACTTTAAAGTGAATCTGTAAAATATTTGATTAATGACCACAAATTTCAGTACTTTTCACAAGTCTTCAAGCCATAAAACTAAGCAGTGTGCTCATGTCTGAAAGTCAGAATCTTCTGCTTTACACATGTACAAATTGGAAGTTGATTAGAAAATTCCAGGTGTTTGTGACTTAGAAATTTCTGTGAGTATACATACTTATCAGAAATTACATTCATAGTTACTATATGATGATAATTGATCGGCTTTTCATATAAGCAAATGCTGTTAAGTTTGATGTAACTTCAAAATGTTCTTCCTTATAGTTGAGGATCAGCTCATACAATGGGGCTGCAGGCTCACCCTCCTGTAGTTGCTGAGCAAGTAGAATTAGCACTTGAAGGGGCAGATTACAGGACGTGGGGGAGTGTACCTGTGGCAACACCAGAGAACAGGGGTCCCTTAACACCAGCCACCGCACACCGAGCTTGCCTAAAACACTCTCGTGGGGCCCATAGAGTGACCCTCTAGGGTCAGGTCATGGCCAAGGTGGCTGGTTTTTTGCTGCCTCACTAATCTCTGAAGCAGCTCTAAGAAACAGAACAGGGAAAATAAGGGAAAGAAAGTGTATATCCACTTTCATTGTAAAATATGTTTGTACAGTTTTTTAAAGTAGCCTTAAAATTTAAATATTATGGTCCACATAAGCTTATTCATCTTTTCTAAAGATAATAGTATAATACAATCCAAACATGCAAATGCAAGTTTATAGAGGCAACAATCTGGAATTTTCTAATCCATCTCTTAATTTACATGTCGGCTATGAGCATGAGATCTCACTTGATATTTTTAAGCTAAAGATATGACACAAAGCTGCTTTACATTTCAGATTCAGTCTGTGTTGGGTCTATATGAAGAAAGATTTAAGCATAGGGTGACAAATCTAATTACTTACATGATCTTGAAGGTCAGTACTGATTGTTGTCAGGATATTGCTTTGGGGTCCTCTGGCTGAACATCTGATCCGTGGGTTGTCATGCATGGGTTCTGCCTGGCAGCATTTTGTGGTTAGAATGAAAGACATCAAGAAACTAAGTAAGTAAACCTTTGTTTAGAATGAAAGGCTTCAGTGAGTCTAAGCATTTTAAATAAGTTATTATTATGGTTTCCTTCCCCAACTAAATCTTTATGCTTTCCATTTAAAAAAACAGTGAGCCACAGGCCATGTGCTACATTGAAACATCCAACTTAGATGGTGAAACAAACCTGAAAATTAGACAGGTAAGATCAAATATAGGTTTGTGGAATTATTACTGTTCCCTTACATGGAATTGAGAACTTTTTTGGAGAGGAAGAAAACTTTACTCTTCTAGGTTCTTCTGGCTGGTCTAAGAATGAAATTGACATGATACCTATTAACAGGAGAAAAATCAAATTAATTTCATACATAATCGAATCCCGCATACATGAGAGCCTCAAAGACAGCAATGCAAATCTGAGCTAAGGAATGGGAAGACCTGGGGGTCATTTACAGGATAATAAGAAGAGCAGATGTTTGGTAATTAGATGTGTGCCCTGCCAGATGAATGGGCCCACTTTAAATAAAGTTTACCTCTGGCAATAACTCTTCTCTGGGAAAAACCCATAATTTAAGTTCTTCTAGATAGTTAAGGGAGGGACAGTAGTTTCCCTTGAACCCTCAGGATCTCCACTGCCTTTAGCTCAAAATAATTCTCATGCAAAAGTGAAACATTTTTGAGTTTTGTTATCAACCCCTATAGATTTATTTCTTAATATTATTGTCTGGAGTTGAGGCAGTTCTGTTCGCTTGCAAGTCTTTTCCTCATTGAACCACAATGAAGTGGTTTTATAAACTGCAAGAGTTAAATATTACGGAAAATTCAGTTTTACTTGCCTAATTAAATAGGATTCATCAGATAGGAATGATTTTGTAATATTTTTAATATTTTATGTAAAAGCCAATACTCTGATGATAATATTATAGTTCTAAGTGCTTTTACATGTGTCAGCTTGTTTATTTTTCCCCTTCACCTGGCCCATATTATTTGGCTTTGCCACATATAGAAGATTCCTAAAGGGCTCCCTAATCTCAGAGAATTGGTTAGGTTTCTGTGTTTATTTCTCATACCTTTCCTAATAGAAAGTCACTGTAAGGTTTTTAAAGTTTTAGAAGGGACATTAAAGAAAGTATCCTCTTGGGTCCTAGACCAGTGGTGAAAATGACATGTGAGAAGGTTGGGTTGTGGTGGAATCAGAGGTCATCCCAGCATCTGAACTCAGCCTGCCACGGGCAGTGAAGGCTGCTCAGAGACAGCTGATTCTTGGTGGACGGGGGGAGAAACTGTTAGTTTTCCTTCTCCGTGGACTGAAAGACTAAAAACATAGCTACTTTCTTGGCATAGATTCTAGTTGTTTTACATTCCCTTTCTGAGATTCAGCAGACAGATTTAGACTGCATAATGCTAAATATCTTATTTTTGGAAGCAAACAGTTCTTTGAAGACTTTAATTCAAAATATCCTTGCAGACTAGTTTATAATCTCTTTAAGATATTTTAGAATTTTCGCAAAATCTGCCCTGTTCTCCTAAATACCTACGTTCAAAAAAATCCTACGTGCAAGTTGAGAGGAAGATATCCACTAGTTTTGATCTAACGAAGAGAGGGGGGAATAATTGTTCTAAAATAGTGGGATCTCTTAGATCCCACATTAAGGTGTGGATGAATTCAGAATTCCCTGCTCCCTCCCACCTACAACTTATTTAATATACTCTATGCTAATTTAAAAATTTCTTAACAGGGCTTACCAGCAACATCAGATATAAAAGACATTGACAGTTTGATGAGACTCTCTGGCAGAATTGAGTGTGAAAGTCCAAACAGACATCTCTATGATTTTGTTGGGAACATAAGGCTTGATGGACACAGGTATGTAAATTGGTCTTCATAAAAACATACACGTCACTCTGTTGTAGGGTATTACTGACCTCGATATTTTCTTATTCTCTCCGTTTGATAAGTCAAACTCTCTTTCTTAAGCATTTTTGTGTTACTTCTACCCAGAGTTCTTTGGTGAAAGTTCTCCTAACCCCGTACACCTCACATAGCTGAAGGCTTCCCAGGGCTCCTGTCAGCCGGGGAGCTGGATATTTTCCTGGATATGCCAGGCTTCTGGCACGTTGTTTAGTGGTTTCTTCTCTGGCCGGAATACTTACAGACTTAGCTGTCATTCTCTATGACCTGGATCCTTTCCTGTAATCTGTGATGCCTCAAGGAGCTCAGACTCCACCTACCCGGGTTCATTGTGGGGATAGTTTCTTGCCTTCTCTGTGTAACTGCATATGCCCTTTTCTAGGCCATTTGATCTGTAGTCACCTTTATGCCTGCTTCCCGCCCTTCTCCATCCCCTTCTTTTCCCCTCGTGTCTCCTCCTGCCTCTTCCCTCATCCAGTCACCCTGTACCCAGGAGGCCAGGTCAGTTGAAGATTTTAAGGAGACGCGATGGAAAAAGCAGACAAATCTGCCTGACCTTGAAAAACAACTTTCTTGCAGTAAGAGAAGGGTGAACAGACCAACAATAAAATGACAAGAAAATTTTATACTATGTTAGAAAGTGATGATAAATGCTTTTGAAAAAATAACCCAGGATAAGAGAGATTGGGAGTTCTTGGGAGGGACTCACTTTTAGTTAATATGGCTGCAGGAAGGCAAATATTGCTGCATTGAGAAGGTAACACTGGGGCAAAGGTGTTAGGAGATGAGGAAGTCAGTATTTTATCTGAAGGCAGATGATTCTAGATAGAAGGAATAGACAGTACAAATTATCAGCTGCATGGTTACATCATTGGAAAGAGGGCAAGTACCTGGAGCGATTATGGTATGTCATTGATGCCAGTGTGGTTGGAGTGGAATGATTGGGGAAGAGGGTAATAGAAGAACTGGGAGGTAATAGTGGGCCAGGTCGTACTAGGCTTTGTATGTCATTGTAAGGGTGTTATTCTGAGTGAAATGGGAATCAGCTGGCACTTTTTTGAGGGCCAATATCAGCTGTTTGGTTGTGGACTTAAAAAGTTGGTAAACTCCAAACAGATATCAGGAGGCAGTTAAAACACATATGCCTGAAATTCGGGATACAGGTCCAGAGTCATGAGATAAATCTAAGAGTATTTGGCATAGATATTTAAAGCCATGGGATTGGAAGAAATCACCAAGGATGAACGGGTACAGTTAGAAACGTGGAGAGGGCCGTCTTAGGACAGCATTGAAACTGAGAGTAGGGACTGGCAAAACAGACTGTGATCAGATCGGTAGCACAGAAACCAGGAGAGTGAAGAAGCCCATATCCAGGCAGATGGGCCACTGAAGGCAATGAAATCAAGTGCAGTGAGTCTGAGAGCCTACATTTGGATTTAGCAAGTGAAAATCCTTGAGCTCTATTAGAACTGGTAGATCCTGATGAGAGTTAGCTTGACATAATGAAAGGAGTTAAAAAACACAGCTTTTTCAAGGAGTTTTGTTACGAAGGGGAGCAAAGGCATGGTGCAAAATTTAGCAGGAAGGGTGAGATCTCCTCTGTCTCCCTTCTTTTCTAGTAGGCATTTGTAGTGGCCACCTAAACGTCGCTAAATGCTCTAGCTCACCCCGCCAGCCGGAGAGATTATCAGTGCTTTCAGTATTTTGTAGCTCCATTATTACAGTATTTGAAATATAAAGCACAAGTGAATACTCTGAACAGATCCACCAGTCTTCCTGTAAGTTTTGAAGTGATTATATATTGTTCTAAATTTTTCACAGAGTGATCTTTCCATGAACATATGGTTATAGACTAATGATAGATCTGGCCATTTATGCAAGTAAAGTTTCTGTAGTCTGAGGTCCCTAACTGGCCAGCTTCCATTTCTTCTCTGTTCCCCAGCAGATCGATGCCCAGCAAATGCATACAGGGTGGTGCCAAGATTTGGGGTGCAGATAGAATTTATATAACATGCTTCAGTTTACATGACATGTGGACATAGATTTTCAATATCTTTGTGTTTGTAGCACATTTGACTTTTACAGTAATTGCCTAGTGTTCCCAGAGCCCCTTTGGTTTGGAATGAATGTACTTTGATCGTATTAAGGATAAAGGTCATTGTCGATTGGTAGGAACTTCAGAATTCCAACTCTGATGAAAACTAGTAACTAATTCTTGTTGAGTCCTTGTAATTGAGAAGTAGTTTTGCTTTTGAAGAGTTTGCCTCATTCCAGTCAATCTGTACCACAGATGCTGAGCTGACAGTTGCTAGGTCATACCTCTAGGTACGTGAGGACCAGTTGGCATTTATGTGCCCTAGTGCATAATCTAGCAGCTTCCCAGGAGCTTCATGGAGACCTGCCTGAAGGCCCCACCCACCTCTGAAGTGCACCCCAAACTTTGAAATGGGTCTGAAAGGCATGCTGTTTTGCATAAGGAATGAGAGTTATAGTTGCTGTGTTCTTTTCTTAAATTGGAATACAAATTCCTCAGGATGTGCTCACTTAAGGAGATGGCTTCAGGGGCTGTTATCACCCACCCATCTCGGTTGATTTCAACTGAGCCAGTGACATTTGTGTAGCTCCTAAAAGAAGGTCCCAGCCCCAAACTACAACTGGATCCCCTACTGGATTATAAGATCTCACCAGAAACAAAAGCTTCAGTCTTTGTTTCTCTGACAAACAAAGTCTGTTTCTGGAGACAGTTACTTGGAGACTTTCCCTCTTTCTTCTGTAAGTTTTTTTTCAATGAATTTTTCATTGCATTTGACCTTTTTTGATTTTTTTTAAACAGCAAAATGAAGAAGTAATAATAGGATCCTTTGAGTCATTAAATTTTATGTAGTATGATTCCATTAAGAATCCCATTGTATTTGTGATAGCTTGTACCCTTGTGATAGCTCTGTGAGAGGTTGTATTAACTCACAACTTACCATAGTGGGTAGCCTTGCAAAAAATCCACAAAAGACCAGCTTGACCCTTATTCACAAAAAAAAAAAAAATGTGGCTTAAGTCCTATGTAATGAAGAATCTCAATTTGCTGTCGTTTCAAAGGAGTGTTTAAGACTTTTAGATGCTACCATTTATTGAAAATGTGTTCACAGTTCTCAGAAAACTGATCTTCAAATACAATAAATGAATGGTCTAGAGATTTTAATACAGACTTAATCTCTGGGGAAGTGTGGATGGCAATACAAAGTATCCAATGAGATCCATGCATTTTCTTACTTTGTGTATTTTTTTTGTACCTTTATTTTGCACAAAGTTATTTTTAACTTGAAGGAAGGTGAGCTAAGGGAAACAGATCCCCTAATCTTACCACTCCTAAATATCTCAGAAACCTAAATGGACTTGCTAAACCAGGAAAAGTCTTCAACAGGCTTGAGAATGAGCCTCTGAATTCCATGCTGTTGCCTGCTATCTTGGATAATGAAGTTGTAGGAAGTACCTGGTTTGGAGGTAACTGAAGTGCTTCCCTTCAGCTATCCTTTTGTAAGAAAATTATTCTTATTGGTAGGGAAATTACTTCTGTTCTAAAAATTAAATATGAGAAGGGTTATTGTCATAGCAGAAACTTTCTTAGGACTATATAGTGGCTATAGAGTTCTTCAGCACTTGGGGAAATGTCATTTCTAATGTCAACATAATCTGCCACAGCACTGTCCCCCTGGGAGCAGACCAGATTCTTCTTCGAGGTGCTCAGCTGAGAAATACACAGTGGGTTCATGGAATAGTTGTCTACACTGGACATGACACCAAGCTAATGCAGGTGAGGTTTTTGTCTATGAAAACCTTAGGGACCTGGGTGTTTGCAGCATTACTGCCTGTATCCCTCCTTGCTGTAGTCCTGATAAATATAGCGGACCATCTGTTAAAGATACCTGAGCCCTACACTCTGCATCCAGATCTCAGTCTTCAGTGGGCGGGGCTGTGAAACGGCTGACTCCATGCAAGAACGCTACAAAGTTCCACCAGAGATCGCCAGTGCATGAACACCTAATGATTTTGTACACCGGTCCATTGGCAGCATTTACTAACAATTGCAGTGATCTGCAAAAGTTGTCTGTTTAATGATGAGTGCTCTGCATTAAAGCGTTTTATCTTATAATTTTAGGACAATGATCAAATTTTAGAATTTATTTTATTTTTTTAAATAGAACTGAAAGAAAAATTCGTGAGTCAGATGTTGCCTGTTTTTTCAGAGCATTTTTATGTGACACCAGTTTTAATCCGCTTTAATCCTGGCACTTAAAATGTTTACGCAGGCTTGTGGGTGCTCCTTCTCTGCATTGAGACATCGTGAGTGTTCAGTGGTTACATGGGTGTGGGAAATTCAGTCTTAAGATGCTCAATGAAAATCTGCTTTGAGGGCTGGTAACTCTGTTCCTTGTAAAGGCACAAAGATGTTATCCACAGGCAAGCAGGACTGCGGTTAATGATTCTTGATAGCCAGCACTGCCTAGATTCCTATTGTGCTAAAACAATGACTAAATACTGTAAAAACCCTGCAAACCAGAGTGTCTTCATAGTTTGGGATTTCCACATCTCTGGCTATGGTTCACAGGTCACCTTCTCTGCCTCTCTCTGGGAGCTGAGATGCTAGATGTCTTCATCTACCGTTTGCTTAGGTCGTCAGCTGATGCATTGTTGCGTCCCTGCCACGGTGTGAAAGCTGTGTCTTCAAAAGGCGTGTTATTCCCTTCTCTTCTTTCTTGTTGTTTTATGTCATAGAAAAAGAACTGTGTGATGTGGTGGAGGAAGAGAGGTGGTTAACTTTTGACAGCTTGTTGCATCTGATTGCTTTGTGTTGGATCCTATGTAGACTTTGACTTGTGACTTTGTCATGCTCACCAGAATACTAGATACACATTACTGGATTATTTGTACACATTCATTACTACTTATCTTTGTTTTCCCTTTACAGAATTCGACAAGTCCGCCGCTTAAACTCTCAAATGTCGAAAGGATTACAAATGTGCAGATTTTGATTTTATTTTGTATTTTGATTGCCATGTCTCTTGTCTGTTCTGTGGGCTCGGCCATTTGGAATCGAAGGCATTCTGGAAGGGACTGGTATCTCAATCTAAACTGTGAGCATCGAAGTGCTTATTGTACTTATTTTTTCTTTCATGAAAACATGAGTTTGTTTCACAACTGATATTGGAATTTCCTGTTTTTAAAAAGAAAACTTTGTTGCCAAGATAACAGAACATTTAATCTTTATTTTTCAGTGCACTTTCCAGTAAAAGTTAAGTAAAATGTTACAATCTCTAAAATTTCAGAATCCTTAAAACTATAGTGGTTACTCCAAAATAGTTATATTATTAATGTTATTTTAAATTTATTGATTTCTTTTATTTTTAACACAAGTGGTTATATAGCTATCTGGTAAAGAAAGCAGATTGAGTATATTTAAATCATCAAAAAGAATTTTACATGTTTTTAAATGTTTAATATACTTTCATTTGAACTCATAATTGCAATGAGTTCTGTGTTGATAATCATCTTTTTTTAGGGAAACTACTATTAAATAGTTTCCTTTTATCTTTTTACTGAATATTTCTGGGAAATAAGTTTACATTTCCTTTTGGTGAGCACATAACCAATAAATACTTAATTTCCGAGAGTGTGTAAGCAGATTCGAGTAAAATTTTATGTCAGAAGATATTTTTTCTGTTTTTTTTTTCTTTATTATATTGATTTAGCTTTGTAATTATTTCAAGGGTCTTGATTTTTAATAAGTCGTTGGTTTGCTATTTCAACATTAGAACTGCTAAGATTACCATCATTTTGTTTCTTCGTATACTTTACAATTTATCTGGGATAACTGTTTTATTTACATTGTTAAAGAATAAGAATATAATTTACAGTAGGGTTCAGACCTACACTGTTGTTGCTATTTGGGTTGGTTTTGCTGCTAATATTTTGTTTGTTTGCTTTTAACACATCTTTCAAGTTAGAAATGCTTTTCAAAAATTTGTTCTACCCAGTTGAAATTCTCCCTCAACTAATATCTCTAAACTTCTATGTCCCTAATACCTCTGAACTTCATGATTGGAATGAGTTTGAAATATTTGGTAGCACTTTCTTTTTAGTACCATTATGCAGTTCTTACTAGAGTTCACAACATCTTATATAATGCTATTACATCTTGAAGACTGTATTTGATAATACGAATATGTTATCAGCACGCTCTTCCTCTCCAACTTTCTAGATATATAACATGAAAAGTTCTAATAATGCTAAAATTCTGGTTAATACAAACAAAATATAAAACTGTAAATGACCTTTTTTTTACCTCCCCCAATAGATGGTGGTGCTAATAATTTTGGACTGAATTTCTTGACCTTCATCATCCTTTTCAATAACCTCATTCCTATCAGCTTGCTGGTGACATTAGAAGTGGTGAAATTTACCCAGGCATACTTCATAAATTGGGTAAATATGCATTGCTATTGTTCTTCATTATGCTCAACATACATTTTGTCTTTTTTTTTCTTGATAGGGTCTTTTGATCTTTCAGAAAAAAAATCTTAATTATATCTTACTTTTAATTGACTACATTTCAAAATATTTTTAAGGCTAATTATAATCTAACAATAACAAATTTCTAGTTTGACTTGTGAAAATTGTAACAAAGTCTCTCATGTCAGAATGACACAAGTTTACAGACCAGACATGCTCGGGAAGATAGGTCTGTGGTTGGATTTAGAGTTAAGATACTAGATTTTAGTTCTAATTCTGTAGTACACTAGCTGTGTGAACTTTGCCAAAAGCTGCTTGACCTCTTTGAGACTTGCTTTCTTGGCCAATCACATGGGAATAATAAAACAAGCTTTACTTGCATCTCGCAATATTTATATAGATCAAGGGACTCTTGTGACATAGCAGACAACTTTATAAACAATCGAGCGCTATAGACATGATGCTGTGATTAGCTTCTCACAGCAACCAGTTGTCTGTCATGTTTTATTCATCTTTGTAGTGTATTTTTCCACACTATAAACAGTTTCAGCTGTGCTTGAATTTGTAGTCTTAATTTTTTTTCTTGTTTTTTTCTAATCTTAGGGAAGTGTTTTGGGCATCTGTTTCCTAAGTATTTTGTTTATAAAATGTTACTATTCTCCAACTAAATTTCAGTTATTTTCACCAAAGTTATAATTAATAAATTTATGTAAATTAAATCTTTAAACCTAATCTGCCAGAAAGTATAATTTTTTATTTTGAGAAATTTTAGTATCTTTTGATTTTTCAATCATTTGAAAGTCTTTCAATATGAACAATATTAGGATTTTTAAAATATGCTGCTTTTGCAACTGTTCATTGTCTTTCCAATGGTGAATGATCCACTTCAACCTTTCATCTCTAATTCATTGGTAAAAGATCAGTTTAATGTAGAAATCTGAAATGAGTTGGAGGCATAGCTCAATTTGTTGCTGAAAAAGTTGTATAATAAAATTTGTATAAGTACAATTAAAACTTATTGAAGGTTTTCCACATATAGAAACAATTAAGTAGCTCATTATGAAAATCAAATAACTGGTCACTTTTTTAAATTTGGGTTTTCAAAAGTAATATTTGTTTCAAATAATTACATAATTTTAGTATGTACCTAGAAGGCTTATGTTTTTTAACTGCTTTTCTGATATATAGAGACTTTTCTGACATTCCTGATAGTCTCTTACCAAGCAGCTTCTTCTTTGGATAGAAATGAGATGATAAGTAACTGCCTTCCTTTTCCTCTGGTTCTTCCCAATAGATCTTTTATGAAAATGACTATCTCATTTCCAGATGACAGCCTTACAAAATCTTTGAACTTGGCTACCATGCCTATTCTATCATCCCCACCCCCAACTAAATATTCTCTGCCTCCTTCAGTTCTTCATTTGACATGATTTCCATCTCAGTCCCTGATGTGGTCACCACTCTCTAAACATTGCCCATTTGTTTACTATCCTTCTTTAAACGAGGTGCCTATTCCAGAACTGATGTTGATTAGCCTGAAGTACAGATGTAGGGAAGATCAGATTTGGTCCTTTCACTTGCCATATGAATCAGTAAACCCTGGCTTTGTCAATTAAAACCCTGGCTTGTATCTGCTTTGTTTTCAAGTATATACAATGTAAGAAGAGACTTGGTCAAGACAGTACAATAGGATGGAATTGCTTTGGTAATTTTTTCAGGGATTTAAAGTCTTAACTTATTTGAGCAGTGTTTAGTTACTGCTATTTTAGCTCACATAAAGCATCATGTCAGACACTAGAGGAGGCACCTTAGCTCCATTATCTAATTTAATCCTTATAGTAGGTCACTTATCTAGGAAATGGGGGAATGATAGTAAGCCAAGATTGCATGATTCCAGAGATGTGCTCTGACTACCCTGTTCTGCCCTTCCTGAGAAATATGGTATTCTGTATTATTTTTTAGGAAATGAAATGGTTAAAGATGGCTGGAGATGAGTGTTACCTCCATAGCTCTCCAGTTAAATAAAATTGTATTCAAATCTCTTATTATGAGTTACATTCAATGATCTCTCTCTCTTTTTTTTTAAGGATCTTGACATGCACTATGAACCCACCGACACTGCCGCTATGGCTCGGACCTCTAACCTGAACGAGGAGCTTGGCCAGGTAAACTAACCTTCTTGTTGATATGTTGAATTAGAAGTCAGATTTGGTGTAATTTCTGCTGTATGTGACAACTTTAGATGAATTGACAGCTCCTGATTTTCCATTTTTTGAATGATTGGCATAAATAAGTACATGTTAGTACCTAACTGTCAATTTTCATTTCTAGTGAATGAACATTATCTAATGCATATTCTGTTCTCAGGATAAGGTATTTCACAGAGAGATGTCCTTTAGTATATAATCTGATTAGCGTGTAAAGTGTTGGCTGCTTTTGAGTTATAAACTCCCAGTATTAAAATTGTTCATAGCTTTTGATCAGAAAGGAAGGGGAATAAAAAGGAAGTTTATCAATGAAGTTGTACAAGTCAAACAGGAATTTCAAATTTATAATTCATACTATATTCACATATATGCACAACAACCCAAAACCTATGGGACACTGTAAAAGCAGTGCTAAGGGGAAGATTCATAGCATTACAGGCCTACCTCAAGAAACAAGAAAAAAGTCAAATAAATAACCTAACTCTACACCTAAA